ATATATATATATATATATATATATATATATATATATATATATATATATATATATATATATATATATATATATATATATATATATATATATAAACCCATGATGTTTGGCTTTACATTAAATACATTTATCATAGAATAATAGCAATATATAAAGTTAGTTACATTTAATTTCTTTTCTTTAGTAAATTATTAACAAACTCATTGACAGCTCAGTCACCGAGTGACTATGGTGCTATTAATCGGACTATACTTGTTACCCCATCTTCATCAACACCTCTTACATTCACCATAATCATACAAAATGATGCAACTATTGAATCAAATGAACTTTTCCAAGCTGTTCTATCTACCACGAACACTGATCAAGTCAATATCGGAACACCATCATCTAGCTCAATTACGATATTAGATGACGATGGTACGTGAATTCGATTGTTATGTTCGGCAATTGATAGATTTGTTTAAGATAAAAGGGCTGTATATGTATAATTATTTTAGATAATATTTTACGATAGGAACGAAATGTACAAATGAATAGAATAAAATACTAATAGTTGTATGGACCAAGTTTTGATATTCTTCAAATAATTCTGTTTTATTTCAGCATTGTTCATTTCGTTCGAACAACCAACTTATATTGTATCAGAAGACGATGGAACAATAACCGTTGGTGTGACGGTCACTGGCTCTACTGCTCTTACTCTGGAATTTGAGTTAGGACTAATATTGTTTGTTTGCTGCCCCTAACCTTACAAACTTCGAAAGCCATGTTACTCCTATATATCTGATCTCGCAATTTGTCGTAGCATGTTGAAGCAATGAAGAGCCTGGCTCGCGATGCTGAACTCTACCCTTTTGTTCGAATTTTTGCTGTATATTGGTATTAAAGTTATTGTGGTTATATGGGTTGATGGGGATTCTTGAACAAGAGAATTCGCCAGAAATTCAACTGAAATATTCCCAACAATCTATTTGGGTTTGCTGATCTATAATACTTCATGTAAACTTTATATGATATGACACCTGGCTCTTGTCTTTTCCTTTAGCCTGTTAGATACCATCTATATTTAGTTTTTGAATATGGTTGGAATGTAGTGAAACATCGCGCTGTGAATGTTTTTTTGTTAATGATTAATTTGACTGATCACAAAGCCATATAAAATGTATAGCCTCACTAATAAAGCACAGAAACGTATCTAACTGAGAGATTTAGGCCTTTAGTCCGGACGAACAAATAGTCTCTCAATGTTTTTTTCTAGTTAATGAATCCCAGATCTAACTTATGAAACCAAACGGACATATGTTTTAAAAAGAATCTAAAACTTTGGGTGTACAGACTTAGTCAAGAATTAGTATTTTTCTCTTTCAGATTATTTCAAATTTGTACATACAAATAATTTATTAGATGGACAATTATTTTACATTTTCGTTGTTAGCTTAAAGGACATTGGCTACCAAAATTTTTATTGCCTATATCTATTAGGTATACTTATGGAATACTTAATTTTATATTTTGGCCGGTTTGTCGCGTTTAGTTGCTGAGAAAATGTAATAAAAAATTCAACAGTTGTCCGCCATTTTGAAAATAAACATTTATGCCACAGCATACATTATATCTGACGTCATTAGCTGGGTAAACACAATTGCATGACTATAAAACAATACCGAGTATTACCACGCGTAGTGCACTGTGAGCCAAAACCAAAGCAGAAAAGTTTTACCAAGTATCTAACTTGTTTCTAACACTATTTCTCATAGTATATATCCTATCCGTGCTAAATAAACGCAGAAATTCGAGTGTAACAAGGCAAACACTAATGCAATATTTTATGGTCAATTACCTGTATTGTAAATTGCGTCATTCCTTGCTTTCCTAGTCGCTCGATATGTTTTTATCTCATAGTGTAGACTTCTCTTGTTTGATTGCGAAGAGTGTTGGCCAGTATAACGCTCAAAACGACATATGTTTAGCTAACATAACACGCACGCAATAGAATTCTCTCTCTTGTAGTTTTGGTGCTACCCATCTAATGACGTCACAAAGTTCATTGACCTTAGAGATAATTTTTCAAAACTTTTTCCAAGATGGCGGCGAAACACAAAGTTTGCATGCATTTTACTCGTAGACTAAAATGTTCGAGAAGGAAATGATAATATTTTCATAGTTAGATCGTCAAGTAGGATTGAAATAGCCAATAAAAATTTTCGTTGCCGTTGTCCTTTAATTAATCTCCGTCACATTAAATCAAAGGAATGATTTGTTGCTTGAATGCCAAAGTGGTGTGTTAATTGTTTTAGAGTGACAGCCACAGACGGAAGCGCCACCACACCTGCAGACTATGTATTACTTGATTCCACCGTACAGTTAACACCGGGTGTTTCAAGACATGAAATCAGAGTTAGACTTACTGATGATCAAAATTTGGAAAACAATGAAACATTTACTCTGAATCTAAATAATAGAGGAGATACTGGTGTTCGTGCATTAGGAATTGGACAAACAACCATTTTGATCGTCGATGATGATGGTAAGTGATATCTTCTTGAATGGTCGGTGCCAGTGTAGGTAGAACAAACAGGGCGGTGTGAGAGATACTACTACCTGAAAAATATAATCATGCAGAACGTCGACGTTTCGAGCGAAGGTCCTTCGTCACGAAGTTATTTGTATATCATGATCGGGAAAACTATAGTGAATGTAGTTTTCACTATAGACAATGAAAGCGACGTTTCTCCACTTCATCGATTATTAATGTACACGGCAAAAAATGCTCAGGTTGATGTAATATTGATGAAAACAGGATTGAACTAGAGGGCACTCAGAGACTGCATACTTCCGCCCGTTACTCGGAAGTGAAACGCAACCTTGGAATTTCCTAAGAAATCCACTTTATACTTCTTAAGCATAAAAGATTTCAGGCCCCCGCGAATTGAAATCGAATTGCTAATAGAACATATTACTGTTGTTGTACTGTACAGTACTTGTAAAATAAAAACTTATTAAGTGTCATTAAATAAATGCATAAATTTTGCTTTACGCACTCGCGCGTGCAGTAATTTTCACAGTTGTGCTATTTTAAATTCCCAGGCAGCTAAAATCTTTTGTCTTTAAAACAATGTCGATTTCTTGGGAAATTCCGAGGTTGCGTTCTTTTTATACACCCTGTATTGAAATAATCTAATGTTGTTAGAATTTGAATGGACTGGCACTTTGCTGAACGTAATAATGCGTAACTCCGTAAGCCTTGTTTTAGACATTGAATTTCGGTCGCGTGAAATGCAACTAAGACAAAAGATAATGAAGGCCGAAGCTTAATGAGGTTTATCATCTCATTATTGTCTTAGCACTGAGTGCATAAATTATACACGTCCTAATTACGCATTCAGTAATATATTTTGTTAATTGACCGGGAAAAGCAAGACAAAATTTTGTTCATTTCTCGTTCAATTTTTAACCAAATTCAACCAAATTTTAATCAGTTCTTCCTTAGCCGATGGGAAATGCACTCACAAAATTTCGTACGGATATGTTTGGTATTTCTTGAGTTATCGTGCTCACAGACACATACACACACACATACACACACACACACACACACACACATACACACACACACACACACACACACACACACACACACACACACACACACACACACACACACACACACACACACATACACACACATACAAACCCAGATGATTACATAACCTCCTGGCGGAGGTAACAATGTTTTGCTGCCCACGTTGTTCATAGCTGTCAACAATATTGAACAATATTGTAACACCCGATTCAGGCTCAACAACATTGTTCAATATTGTTGACAGGTGTGAACAACGTGGGCAGGAAAACATTGTTCAGTCCTGTTGAGGAACGGGCTCGGTGTTTTTTGCCGTGTTCCTCCTGACTATGTACACTTTTATGTTTATTTAATGTAGACTGAGGTATATATATATCGCAACTTTATTTGGATTTTTCACTTCGGCCAAATACACATACTATACAAAATTTTAATCAACTCCAAAAGTATTAGTCTGTCACAAAAAACCCCGTTCAGAAAGGGTAGTAGAATAACTTTTGAAGTTGATCAGACACCTTGAAATTTACAGTGTTGAATGATGATTTAAAATGTCGAAAAAAGTCAGTTTTTAATCCATGCGTATATTTAACATTATAATATGCAGATTACTAATTCACTGTATGACCGAAAACTAAAACCACTCCTTTCTCATGAATTTTGCACGTTCAATCAGTATGTTCATCGACGAAATCCTGTCCAGTACAAAAGTAGGAAAGTGCTGTCTCGAGGGATCAAAGGTACCCCTAAGGGATCAAAGGCAGCATGCACAATTTGCTTAATAAGGGGCTGTTTATATATGATCCCATGCACTTTTCCGGGACGAAATGTGAGGCGGGATTACGAGACGACGATTCAGAAAAAACTACATTATTTTCCAGAGATAATAATAGCATTTATTTTAACACGATAGATATTTACAGCATAAGCTGGTGGGGTCGTGTAACTATGTCCTAATAATAGGGAATTACACTTACATTAGACAAATATAATGCATAAGTTAATGTTATTATTTACACTTCAGTTTTAAGAACCTTGCAGTGTTTCTAGATATTAATAATTAGTCAAATATTGTAGCACTTAAGGATTCTTGTTTGGCAACAGTATTTTTAAAGGTGTCCAAGGATTCTAATTTCCTGGATTCATTACTAAGATTGTTCCACAGTACGGATCCCTTGTAAGTTATGGATTTCTTCATAATTTCCGTTTTAGGTCTTGGCAAGGACAAAGCAAATAATTCTTGAATAGAGACTGGAGCCTTACCATAATAACATTTGTGTACTAACATTACTAATAATTTTAAATACCTGCTTTTTAAGGTTTTCCAATCGTATTTCGTTCGTACTTCTTCAGTTGGAGTATTCCAGTCTAAGCCATGCAAATATAGATTTGGTTGCTCTCACATGTATTCTTTCAAGATTGTCAAATTGCGTTTTGTTAGTTGATCCCCACACTACTAAACCTAAGGGAAAAACCACTTTATACTAAAAATCTAACCTAGCTTTAGTTGGTAAAAAATACAAAGATTTTAATAAGTTTATTTTTTGTGAGAAAGATTGTGTCAATTCCAATATATGCTTAACCCACTTTAGATCATCCTCTACTTCCATTCCTAAACATCTTTTGGAGTGAACTCGTTTGATGCAATAATCTCCTAACATTATTCCTCTGAGTGGTCCAATGATTTCTTTCGTTCCTATCAACATATATTCCGTTTTATCTGGTGAGGTGGGAGGGGCTTAAATTTACACCAATTGTAAAATTTACCCAATACTTCGTTAAGTCTAAAAGTTATAATGTCTACAGTTGGTCCGATAACATATAATGTTGTATCGTCTGCATACATTTCCAATTCTGTATCATCATCCTCGGAGAACATTCAGGCAGGTCATTACAGAATATGGAAAATAAAATGGGACCAAGTACCGAGCCTTGAGGAACACCAAATTTGACCTCCATTTGTTTCGAATGACATCCATTTACCACCATTATTTGAGTTCGGTTTGATAGATAATCCATAATCCAAGACCATATGTCTCCAGAAATCCCCAATCCATGGAGCTTATTCAGCAGTATAGGATGTGATACTGAGTCAAACGCTTTCTTGAGATCTATGAATAGAACACCAACAACCTGTCTGTTATCTAGTGCTCTTCTCCAATCCTCCGTCATCTTGACCATTAACATTTCTGTGGAGTGGTATTTTTTATATGCCCACTGGTGCCAGCTGTGTAGGTTGTGTTGCTCCAAGTGTGACGTTAAAGTTGTTGCCATGCACATGCTTCCATAACTTTTCCCTGTACAAGCAATAATGATATAGGGCGGTAATTGTTTTTATCCGTCCCATCTTCTTTCTTGTACATATATATATAGCAGATATCTTTGCCTTTTTCTATATATCAGGTGCTATATGTGCTGTTACACTAATACAATACATTGATTTAAGAGAAGGCAAAATAGCATCCCCTGCATACTTTAACACCTTTGGCGAAACTTCGTCTGACCCGCAGGCTTTGTTCGCTTTTAATTTATTCAAAGACCGTGCTATTGCATCCTGACTTACATCTACGTTCATGATGGTCGGGGTAATACGGTTTATGTAAGTTGCTGAATTCTGGATGAGAGTCGTCATGGATTCATTAGCTAATTTCTCGCCTATCGTCAAGAAATGCTCGTTTAAAATGTTTGCTTTACCGTTATCATTAATTTCCATTCCCTCATTCTCATCAAAGACCAATAGGTCTTACAGTCCTTTACCTCGTCAAACAGTCCTTTGTAATATTTGCATTTAGCTGCTCTTACCTGGGGCCGGTTGTATCAAAGGCGTTTAACTTAAACGGTGTTTAGCCGCTATCCAGCGTATAAATTTCTTATCCAGCGGATAGTTAAACGGCCGATAAAATTGCGTTGTACGAAGCCCGTTTAGTACCGCGTTTAACTATCCGTAGGATAACCTTTAATTTAACCGGAGAAAACCGGATTTTCTTGAAATTTCCTACCTCTACGTCAGCTGTTGCTAGGCCTTTGTAAACTTTTGAAGCTTTATCTAACTTTTGAATTCCACTAAGCTTTTGCAATAAAGTTTGTTGTTGTTTTTATTTGGAGTTTGCTCGTCCATTCGTTGCTGCAAATCTATATCAAACTTTTCATTTTCACATTGTGCTGAGTTTCTCATTCACTTAAATTCACTTACGGATATTTCTTTAAAGATTTTTGGCTTCTTTATGCGAAGAGTCGAAGGCAATAGCAAAAACTGTGAGTTGTATTTGGCTCTTGTCAGTTGATTCAGTTTTATACTGTTTGAAATTTGTTCCTCGACCTTGCACTTTTGTTCAAAACAATTTTAAGAACATTTTGTCCCAAGTTTTGATTGGCTGATCAAAGCGATTAACGCGAGCGAACAATTTTTTTCGACTTTCGGCGTCTTGTTGTCTATTTTGTATGCTTGTTGGCTTTCCAAAGTCATTGTTTGTTTTACAATAGCTAAAATTGGGAGTCTTATTGCTTGTTTTCAAACTATATAATAGAAGAAAAAAGGAGAAAAAGCCAGAGTATATATACTTAACATCTAAACATGACACCCAAAGCCACGGAATAACAAGTGAGCAAGTGACCTCAGTGTAGCTCAAGACCAAGCCAGTTAAAAGTGAGTTTTTCATGTTTATTGGATTTAAAAAGACAACTCCTCCACATGATTGTGCATTTTTATAACTATCCCATGCTTTTTCATCCGAAATAATGATTGTTTTATCTTCAAACTCCGAGTTTACCCGCCGTATAGCGATATAAACGGTCTCAAGAGACCGTATAAGTTTACACGGTGGATAGGCAAAATTTAACCGGTGGATAGCCCTAAACGGGCTTGATACAACGCGATTTCTCGAACGTTTAAATTTTATCCGGCGGATAGCGAGTTAAACGGTGGTTAGCGAGTTAAACGCCTTTGATACAACCGGCC